GCAGGAAGGAAAAAAAAGGATGTCACTTGATTCTTTTCTCTTACTACGATCTTTGTGAAAGAATGAGATATCTTGTTCTAGAACATTTTAGGGCTGATTTAAAAAACCAAACAAACCCTAAAGAACTAAAGAAGGTAGTTTTATCTAATCAACAGCATATGAGGAATATTTTTTTTTTAGTCCTGTAGTACCATAAACTACCCTTGCTCAGGAATTTAAACAGATGTCCACCAGTTTAAAGCTGATTTTAGTCACAACTTCTATTTCAAGACGTAAATGGTTGTTTTGATTTTCTAAAGACAAAAAGTAAGTGCTTTTATTATGTAATAGCCTTGCTGCTATATATTTTTTTATTGCAGTAGAACAGTAATGTTATTAACAGTAGAACAGTAATAACATTACATCTATCAAAATATCCTTCAATAAAACTTTCATAAAATGAAGACCTACCTTAAAGCAGCTAGAATTATAATGCATAATGTTAAACTGTCTATATTAATATCTTAAATGCTTTCATAGAAAATGCAGGCTATTTGATTATTCAGAAAAGGATTCACTAAATGCATATTTTAGCTTGTTCCTAACTGAATAGCCTCGCATAAAATCATATATTGATAATTCAGATCACTCTGGAGAAACTTCTATTAAAAATATAATTATTTTTATAATATGCCATTTATACATGGTAGAATTTAATAAAAACACTTGAGGAACTAGTGATAAGGATAAGAAAAACAACTAGGTTTTGCTTAAAAAGTGCTTATGTCACTTGGAACTGAGTTATTAGGAAGAAGTCTGCTTATATACACAGATATTTGAAGGGGCATATCTATTGCTTGTCCATAATTATTAAAGCTATGTTCATGAAAATAGAACCTTTGTTTCTTAAAATGGGATTTAAAGACAACAATAGAGGTAAAGCTGTATTATTAAAAGATAAACACACTCCAATAAAGCAGGAACACAATCTTGCTCTAAAAAAAGTGGTTATAAATATTTATTATTTTAATCCCCTAAAAAGCAGTCTTTGGAAAGCCGTTCAAAAAGTTTTTCCATTACAATGTTTCTGACAGAAGATGGCCTTTTAACAAAATGGACATTTGGGGGGAACAAGTGTGCAAAAAATAAAGATATTTTGTTTTTAAAAAGTCCATAAGGGTAGGTCAGTTGAAGCTGTTGAAAGGTGGTAGATGACTTTTACTGTGCAACAGATGCTCACAGTAACAGGTTGTGTTCTTGTTGTATGGTAAGTGAAAACTAAAATGTAGTCATTTAGACTTGTTTTGTTTGCAGTAAGTTGACCCTGTGTGTCTTGCAGTATGGACCATTTCATGGATATAGTAAAGAAGAACATATTAACAACAACTTCTGTAGGATCAAAAGTTTAAGAACCATTAAAAAAAAAAAAGGAAGGGGCCAGGAGAGTTTCTTTCAGTGTTGCTTTTAATCGCAAAATATAAAAAGAGGCTTTCACTGAGGGTAAGGTGGAGTGAAAAGCAACACCTGCTCCAAGTTTTCCAAAATAAACAAGCAATTCAGTCTTTAATTTATGATATGTGATTTGATACACATGCAGTAACTAGATGAGATGAATCACTATTGGAAAGTGTTTGTCAGCAATTGGAAGATTATTTGAATCTGTGTTCATGTTCTTTTTTAGTTCCAGACTGATGCTTGTTTGACACAGCGGAGTTGACGATTGTAGTACATATGGTGTCTGAAAGCAGCAGAAAAAAGCAAATATTTTGATGGCACTACAACTGAAGAAGTAAAACAAGAGGCTAAGTAGTTCAAGTACTATTTTATTCATAAGCTAGTAATGATGGTGACACTGGTTTCTGCAACAGATGGAGCACTGACTATTACTGAATCTAAAAGCTTCATTGCTCATCAGTATCAGCAAGCACTCTGACAAAAACAATAGACTCAACACAGCCTGGAAATAGTAAACTAGTAGATATATTTGAGTTGGAGACCTTCAGAGCAGGCTGTTTCAAACTCAGCTTGATGAAAGTGATACAGCCTGGGGAGCACCAGGAGAACTGATATGAAATAGCCGAACAGAGTTTTGAAGACTTATAAGATTGGAGTGTGTTCATAGACTAACTGAATGACAGAAAAAGTTTAAGAAATTTTGGAAAAAATAAAGCAACCAGAATTGCTAGGATGATCATAGAATTAATCCCATCTGAAGGAGTGTTTCTAACAGTAGATACACTTTTACAGTTTAGAAGTCTTATTCAGTCTTTGGCTTGAGTTGGAAGCCCAGGTAGGAGATCCAGCTAAGATACTTGAACAACTCCAGATCAGTTAACTTGGTTTTCTAGAAGCAGTATAGCTCCATTGTCACTGCACTGTTCTTAAGCTGAATAGCCTCGATGAATATTTAGTTCTAACTCTTTGGCACTTCATTGTATTGTGTAGGCATGGTCAAAGAATCTTTGGCTTGTTAAATGGCTTATGGACTGTAACTAGAGCTGGCCAAACGATTCATTAGTAGTTAATTAGAACTGGTCAGAAATAATTTACCATTTGTGCCAAAATTTAAATGAAAGGTTTAAAGCCATTTTTTCCCATTTTTATTTTAATCGAATAGCAGATCATCTACATTTCAGCTTTTAGTTGATGAAAACTGAAAAAAATTCTTGGTTTATTTGATCAAACTTACGTAAAAATAGTCAAAATCAACCTTTCTTATAGAAATGTTCTTTTTGAGAAAAGTCCTGTTTTAATTTTGAAAAAAAAAAAAGATTTCAACTTGACATATTTGGACCCTTTTGGGTTATTGAATTGCTCATCTCCCATTCTTCATATTTTTCAAGTGTATTTGTTACCTATAGATTGTTGCCAAATCGATAGGAGAAATACCTTTCAGATTCTGTGTTGTGCAGAATTGGTCCACAGCCAAAATAAATGTCCAGGCTCTCATCATCTCCCCTCTTGATTATTGCAGCATTTCTCATTCCGGACTTGACAAATGCAACCTTGCCTTTCTAGGAATCCTGTTGCTGGAATCACTTCATAGTAAATAATCTTGATTTATGTTGCACATCCCTATGCATTGTACCACTGGCTCCTCACCCGTCCTCATTGCATCAAACCCAAGCTGTCAACCTTTACTTTCAGGTATGGTTAAATTGTGTCTCTGGCATTTCCAAGAAAGGTTCTCCAGAGCAAGCCCCACCCATTTGCCTGAATTCACATATGCTGAGTTTGGAAATAGGACAGTTGGGCTGCTCCAGGGGCACCTCCTGCAGCTGCTCTCAAGCACATCAGATTCAGTATATTCAAGGCCTTTCACTGCCTATCTATGCCCCATAGTCATCTTTCTTCTATCTGGGCCTTGCCTTTTGTTTCCACTTGGCTCATGATGTCAGCCTCTGTAGCCCACTAACTAGATTTTCTAACAAGCAATTTTGTGCTTTCTGTCATGCCACCTCTCATACTTGGAAAGTAGTCCCTGAAAACCTATCTAAAACTCATTGTTCTCCTTTGAATCCCTCCTTTCTGTGCTGCCTACAAGAAACTTGCATTAAGAACACTGCCTATGATGCTGATCAATGCTTTGTCTTTGTTTCTTTGCATGCCCTTATGTGTCTGTATCTATTTTGTCTCGTTTTACACTTATAATTTAATATATCTGGGGCAGGGATCCTTTTTTGCTTCATGTCTATGTAGCGCCTAAGGTTCATTTGTGTTTGGTTGGTTATGAAAGCTGGACCCTGTCAGTACAAAAACAGCAACTAGGACAGCAGCCAGGTCTGGATAACTTAAATTTTCTCTGTTCTGGGAGACCTCTTCTGTAGTGCGGAGTGTGGGCAAACCTCCTAATGCTAGGTACAGGCATTCAAAAAGCCCAGGGCATAATCAATCTAAGTTACAGTTTTCTGTAAGGAGTGTAGTTTAGATCAGTAGTGAACAGAAGATACATTCACCTTTTAGGGGGGGGGGGGGGGGTTAATTTTTTATTTTGATTCTTTTAGGGGGGGGGGGGGGTTATAATTTTAGACTAGATTCTGCCATTTTTAAACCAGTCTGTGTTCCAAACTTCTGTTCTGTTATGGGTATATCTCAGTTTCCAATCACTTATACCTGTTAAAGTGTAATGTCTGTACCTGGCTTTAATCACCATCCCCAACCCACCTACAAAATACAGGGTAAGTAGGAGATGGGGATGGGGTTTAGCTGAAGTATGTAGTCTTCTGGCTTTCCCCAGATGTCTCATGCACAGACCTCTGTTCAGTTATAAAGGGACACTATTTGGATTGCAAGAAATCAGATCTTTCTTGGAAGAACTGTGTGCTCAGTGCTTCTGCTTTCAGCCATGAGATACATTGTGTACACAGAGCTATTGCAAAATTCTCCAAGGGCATTGAGCTTCCTGAGGTCACCCTTCAACTCGTCCCTGCTACAACTTGTTTTCCAACCTGCTGGAACCTGCAATTTGTTTCACCAGATGGTCTACTATATATATCTGGACCATTTCTAGGCTTCAGACATTACTGCAGTAACCAGGTTGTTTTAATCTATGTCAAGGTGAAAAATGCCTCCTTTCAAACTGAGCAGTACTGAATCAGGATTGGTCCTGCTTCTTGACTGGCTAACTGGTGATCATGAACACACCTTCTTGTACAGTATTTCAGGGAAATGGTGCTTAAATTTATTAAAATACCTGTCTCCCAACAGGATACATGAACTCTAACAATGTCTTGCAAATAATGAATAATATGACAGCATGGAGCATAGATAAGCAAACATGATGTTCTTGCCAAAATACTGTGCATTAATATTTTTAGAACTCAAGTGCCTCTAATTACAGCAGACATTTACATCTTAGGAAAGAACATGCCTGTACAGATTTGGAATATATTATCTAAATAATATTTATACTTTTAGGAACTCACCAAGTAAAATGGTAATTTGACATTATGCTTAGCTACTTCAATTTGCCACCATTCATTTTTTAAAAGTGTTTCTATTGCAGGAAGACTAAAGGATGGGAAATAAAGTCTCATATACAATCAAATAAAAACAAGCATGGTGCTGCTTTAAAGATTTCATAATCTCTGATTTAGATTGCAAATGAAACCACTATTAAAAATGGAAGCAAGAGTGAGACAAGACAAAATAATAGCCAAATGTAAGACCTTTACTACTGAGTCATAAAAATTGCTGAGGGTTCTCTTATTATAGGGCTTGCCTGTAACTTTTTTTTTATTTGTCTTAACATCACAACCTGAATAAATAAAACTGAAAGGGCATCTAGCAGGAAATATAGTACTGGATTATTAGAGGAGGATGTTTAGAGACAAAATGACATTTGCCACAGCACCCCAAAGGCTACTCTTAAAATGTTTGTTTCTACTGTTTGAAAAGGAGAATGTGTGTAGTCTGGTCTACTATGCAGGGATTTTTATGCATACATAGAGGAAGCAGAAGGGGCAAGTAAAGACCTAAGAAGCAAACAGTGATGCAAAGGCAGCTTATTTGTACAAAAAGCTTTTCTCTCTCATTGGCACTAAAGGCACATTTGCTTGCTAGATAGATAGCTAGATAAATAAAAGCTCGACAGGCTTTCCCAGTTGATTTCTTGGCTGGGTCACATTCCAAAGAGACTATGGTGATTTTTAATGATACGATCTGAAATAGGAAAGTGGTTTTTTAAATAGTAATATCTACCCTCACTCTCTCTCTCTCTTTGTATTCTTTCTATAGTACATTTAGCACTCTCGCTCTCATTCTTCTCACTCTGTTTTTTTCTCATTTCAGTACAGGGAAAAACTGGAGATTTCAGGTCCATTTCTTAGGTCTGTTAAGTTGGATTCAACAGAGCTCTGAAATCACAGGGATCCATCTGCATAGAAAGTATCCCAAGTTAGGAGTGTACACAGAGCAAAACTGGACATTGTCTTTTGAATGAAGGATTAGAAATTCAAGGGCCTATGTAAGATATTTTATCAGAGTTGAGAAATCAGTGGCTGCACAGATCAGCCTAGCTTTACCATCTGTTTTTCAGCATTCTGTTCTAGTTGAGGCAGTGGGAGGAGGAGGAGTGGGAGGGAGGGGGTGGTGGGAAGAGAGATTTGTGAAGAATCATTCAGCTTAGGTAAACACACCTCCTAAAATACTGCTGTCATCAAGAGGGTAGGAGTGGGCAAACGCATACTAATCTGCTAACACTGTACAGTGAAGAACAGAAGAAAAAAATAAATGGACCTTTGGTCATTTTATCATGCAGATTTTTAATATTAAAATAGCAGTGCAAGCTATTTGGCTAAATGATTTTAGCTTGAAAGCCATCTTCATGCATAGGTCTAGAAGACAGCAAGACATATTCTGAGGCTTTAGTTTATATAGATGGAAATGGTGGTGATAACTGGTTCACTTCTGAATCAGTTAGGCTTATTTTTGGGTACTGATTTTATAAATTAAAAAGTACTTGAACATGCATCTAATTTTTGGCACATGAACGAAGATAATTGGACTGCACATGCACTTAATTTCATTGTTCACCTTTCCATAATACCACAAAGTACCATGTGCAGGGTCCAAACCTTCCATGGTGAAGGGAAAAAACAGGCCAACTGTATGATGGATGTATGCGGGATTGTAGCTAATAAGACTAGGATTAGGTAAATTAAATCTACTTCCATCATGAAGTAGATGGCTATGGACAGCATATAGCAAGAGAACAAGAGGCAACCTGACACCTGGCATGCATGCTCCTTGTACTAAGAATAGATGAGCAACTGAAAAGGATGAAATCAAGTGTCTGTTTTCCATAATCTTTATAAATACACTGTCTCTCACCCCATTCTCATTAAAAAACTAGGTGACTCTGGCATTGATGCCTACACAGTCAGATGGGTCGCAAGTTGGCTAGAGGGTCACACCTAGAGAGTGGTGGTGGATGGGTCATTTTCGACCTGGAGGGATGTGGGCAGTGGAGTCCCCCAGGGCTCGGTCCTCGGGCCCGTAATGTTCAAAATCTTGATCAGTGACTTGGACGAGGGGGTGATAAGCACCTTGTTCTAATTCGCAGATGACACTAAGATGTGGGGAGAGGTGGGCACACTAGAAAGGAGGGACAGGCTACAACTAGATCCAGACAGATTACAGGGTTGGGCGGATAAGAATAGGATGGGATTCAATACTGACAAGTGCAAGGTGCTGCACCTAGGGAGAAAGAACCAGCAGCATACCTACAGGCTGGGGAACTCCCTTCTCATCAGCACAGAGGCAGAAAAGGATCTTGGAGTCATTATTGATTCCAAGATGAACATGGGTGGCCAATGTGAGGAAGTGGTCAGTAAGGCTAACCGCACCTTGTCATGCATCCATAGGTGCATCATGAGAAGGTCCAAGGAGGTGATCCTGCCCCTCTATGCAACACTGGTCAGGCCACAGTTGGAGTACTGCATCCAGTTCTGGGCACCGCACTTCAGGAGGGATGTGGCCAGCATCAAGAGGGTCCAGAGGAGGGCCACTTGCATGGTCAGGGGGCAGCAGAGCAGGCCCTACGAGGAGAGGCTATGGGACCTGAACTTGTTCAGCTTCCACAAGAGAAGGCTGAAAGCGGTTCTGGTGGCCATCTATAAACTTACTAGGGGGGACCAGTGGGGAATGGGAGAGGCCCTATTCCCCCAAGCACTACCTGGAGTAACTAGGAATAATGGCCACAAGTTGATCGAGAGTAGGTTCAGGGTAGACGTCAGGAATCACTATTTCACAGTCAGGGTGGCTAGGATACGGAACCAATTTCCAAGGGAAGTGGTGCTCGCTCCTACCTTGGGGGTCTTCAAAAGGAGGCTAGATAATCACCAGCATTCTTTCTTGTCCATGGCAGGGTGTCAGACTTGATGATCTACTCAGGTCCCTTCTGACCCTATGAACTATGAAACTATGAAAGAACTATCATTGAACACCAATCCACAGTCAGAGCAGTGCACGGAACTTTTGGTTT